TTTCCATGAAAACCCTGCCAGCCAATGCTTCTAGTGGGTGGGTTTTTTTACAGAATGGACATAAATTGTTAGAAAACTTTGCATAGGATGAAAATTTTACATGATTTGAAATCTTCCTTATGAAAAAAGATTGAAAACTCTTAAAAATTTCATTCCCAAATTTTTAACGAAGAAAGAGGGGACCTGATCGAATTATAATGGGAAGTAGGGTATTAATAAAGGGGATTTAAAAAGGTCTTGAGGATTCTCTCCAAGAGAGAACCCCCAGTAAAGGATTTAAATTAGATAAGTTTAGATTTTGAAAGGATAGGAAAGTATTTGGTTTTGGGAAAAAGGGTAGTTGATGAGTGGAACGTCTACCCAGTTGGGTTTTGAGGCTAGGGGCTTTGGGTTTGTTTTAAAAATTTTGTTGGATAAATACATGAGTGGGGGGGTTGGATTTGATGGGATTGCACTCAGCTTACTTTTGGGTGATTGAAAAATGGGTTGGGCAAATGTTTTGTTAGTGGGATGTTTGTAAAGGACCCGCCTAGTATGGGCCAAAGGCCCGCTGGTGATCTTCCTTTCTTATGTTCTTATGTTCTTAACTGGCATGATCAGTGCATAGAGCCCTGCCAGCCGTTTTAAATTGATCAGGACTAATAAAACACTGCAAAGAAACAAAGAAAAGGTTTGGGGGGTTTTAACCTGACAAAGGAGACAAAATCCAGGCCAGTTGTTAACCCTTTACCCTGGCTACAATAAAAATTTTAGGATTTTTTTTATTGGGTTCAAATTCACCTATTTCCCTGGTTGCTTAAGTTGTTTTCAACTGTGCCATTTTGAAAGTTATCCTAGAAGGTGACATACAGATGGGTGTTTTAAGTGAGGCTGATTAGAAGTATGGGGGTTCATTGACAGTACATGGATGCATTTGATCAGGTTCAGAGAGTGTGTTAAGTCAGTTTTTGAGTCGGAGGTAAGCATTTGCTGCTGGAAGTGGATGACATCCCGCGGCCCGTTACCCGGGAGGTGTTCTGGGGGGGAACGCCCCCGATCCGGGCTCTGACAGGCCCCCCAGTGGGGCAAGCTGATCAGTTTACCCCTTTTTTTCCTGTGAAATTTTGAAGACTAAATCCACAAAGGTTTCCCAACTTAAGTTTGGAAAAAAAATCATTGTAAACTGCCCCCATTGTGTTTTTGGGGTTAAATACTTTTTTTATTTTTAGCTATAATAAGATTCCCTTTTAAAAATTCCCCATTCAAAATTAAAAATATCCCCTTTTTATAAAAAGCCTTATTTAAATTTTATAAGCATTCTGCATTTTTATTTATGTCTCAATGAATTTTTAAAACCCAGTGTGACTGAAGCTTAGACTTTCAATACTTGACATGTATCCCCGTAAAGCGGCAAAAAGATACATGATATATACACTTGGAAATTTTTGAGAGCCTGTCCAAATCTGCACACAGAAAACTCTCCCTGCAAAAGCAAAAAAAACTGGGAGATGGTTTTCAACATTCCTCCATTGGAAAGCAGGAGTGCAATGAATAAATAGAGACAAAAAAAAATAAGTATCAGGGGGTTCGCATACTAAGGGGGATTACCCAAAACCCCGGGTGTCTTCAAGAAGGCGCTGGACAGCCACCCAAAGGGCGTTCCTGATCAGCTAAGGTGGTTGTGCATTGGTTTGCATGCAGCCAAAAAATAATAGCCTGGTTTTATCAAATTTGATCCCTATGAGGGGCCCGTCATGGATGTGCCACGGGGCATTGACCCCCGGAAAAACCTAAAATATTTCCAGGGATACAATCTCCCGCAGTAGAGCCTCACCTCTGACTAGGAACCTGATCTAACTTCCCCCAAAATCATGTTCCTGATCACAGCATCCCGCCCCAGCACCAAAAAACCCGAGATCTGGCCTTTTTATTATACCCATCATCCATGGAAAAATGGTGAAAAACCCTTTCCCCTTGAGTCTGCATATTAAGAAAATACAAACATAAGGAAGAAAAAAACACAGCAAAGGGGACTGACCCTTTCGGAGCAGGTTGTCCCCCCCCCCCGGTTTTGACCCCAAAGACCCACCCCCGGATTTTCCCCAAAGACCACCCAGTCTGGTATCCCCCCTAAAAGGTGGAGCACTGTACCCAGGGCCCCGCAGCACATGCCAGTAGGTCCCAATCCACCCCCCCCCCACACCCACTCATGTATTTATTAACCTATTTTTAAAAACTACCAACGTTTTGGGGCCCCAAATTTTTGTTGGGGGTTTGTTCCAATCATCCACAACTTATTACCAAAAAGGCTTCCTATATCCTTCCGAAACTGAATTTTTTCCAACTTGAAACCTTGTGCGGTCCCCGTTTGGCTGGAAATTTTCGCACACTATTTTAATCCCTTTATTTATTCCCGTTTTCCCTTTTTAACCTCGTCATATCGCCCTAATTTTTCGTTTGAGAGGTGCAGATTCAGGGCCCCAGTCTATCCCCCCAAAGGGAAAATTTGATAAGGGATTCCCTTTTTCTTTCCCCCTTGCCGGGAGAAAGGGGCTAGTAAAACCCCTTTCCCGTATAAAATTTCTAAAAAAGTTAAAGAAGAAAAACTTTATATTTTTCTTTTTTTGGGTCACAACCCGGTGGGAGACAGCCGGTATTAAAAAAAATTTATCTTCCCTTACCTTCCAGGGGTATTTATACGGGTGAATATACAACACTGTTGACTGATAAAAATTTTCTTTAAAACATGTGCACAAGGATTTAGTTCTCTAACGTTGTATTGTCTTTAAAAATAAAACAAAAAAAATTAACCCCTATACAAAAAAACACAACATAAAACCATGAATTTGGAAAACCCATACAAGGACATGGAATTTTATTAACTAACAAACCCCCCAGATAAAAACAAAAGGAATTTTTAAAAGGGCTTTTTTATCTTGAAATCATGTGTTCTTAAAATTAAAATTGGTATTCCTTTTTCTTTTTTTTATTGCATTTACGATTTGGCAAGTGGCATTTTTAAATTCCCCGAAAAACGGCGGTCAATTCCTAAATATTATTTAATCCCTAGTATTTTTCCCCAATTGTTTGTGGTGTCACAAAAAAAACACATCTTTAAATACAGCCCCTTAAAAATTTAAAAAATCCCAAACCTCTTTTATATGCATTTGTTAAAGTATTTCTTTTTCGGGTCCCCCTTGCCTCGGTGGGAGACGGCCGCTGTCAAAAAATAAATAAAATGTTAATTTTAAAAACTAATTATTTCCCCACTTGTCTATTTTTAATAAAAAGTACTCTTATTTATCTTGACCTCCTCTGTTTCCCAGCCTCTGGAGGTTTCTGGGGTTTCCCGTCCCAACTTGGTCATCTAACGGCCACATCAAACAGGTAGTCTAGCTTCGGCCCCGAGAGGAGTGGGGAACAAAAATTGTAAAAAAGGCAATATGAATGATAAGTTGTACGCCTTCCTACTTAAGCGGTTCTTCCTAAGACTACCTGGCAAAAAGAATTTGCCACTAAGTGAAAAGGGATTCTATTGGTTTTTGGGTTTGGCAACAAACTTTGATATTGTTTTAATGTCCCCTTAACCATTTAACATTTTTTGAATTTTTTAAATGTTTATACAGTGTTATTTTTTATTTTTAAACCCCTGGTGATTCCCCCCAGGCAGGGTGGTCCCAAAAAGAAAAAAATTAAAATATTTTAATCCATTGTTTGCGGGGTACGCTTACATACAGTTTTTAAAAACTGCAACATTAACAAACCCCCCTTTTAAAAGGCAGGCACTGTATTCCCCCTTCCCGGGACTAAGTCCGGCCCGCCCCCTCTCCTGAAAACCCCTTTTTAAATGTTACTTTGCTCACCCCCAACGCACTAAGTATTAAAAAACCCTTTGTCTCCATTCACTCCCATCAAATAGCCATGCAAAGTTGCTAGAAGTCCAAACCCCTCACACTAAAACCTCCTTTACCCCCCCCCCTCCAAAATTTTCCCGGGACCCCTACCCCGCCCCTTTCCCCCACTACAGTTTAACATCTCGAAGTAATTTTGTTTTTCCTTCTCTTACTGTCCAAACCCCTCCCAAAACCCCCTTTTTCAGCCCTCTGGTGAGGAAGGGTTTCAGTAGTGTACGTAGTTGTAATAAAAAAAGAAAGAGGAAATCAGTTTTAATTTTACATTTTTTAGGTATGCTTTTCTGGTCCAAAAAGCCCCTCATAAGTCCGGTCATTGGTAAAAAGGTTGTCACCCAAGTGAGAGAGGCTGTTTGTCATGGCTGAAACAATGCTATAAAGGGGATTCAGAAAAAAGGAATTTAAACAAAAAAAATATTGGTCCAATGGGCCCCTGTTTAGTGAAAACAGGTCCAGTGGACCGTTTTGTGCAACGGTTAGATGGTCCCGTTTTGTGCAAAAAGGTCTGATGGGCAGTTTTGTGACAACTGGACCCCATTTAAATTTCAACAGGTTCAGATGGACCATTTATGGGCACGATCCCGAGGATCATGTTTAAATGACAACGGGCTGATGGTCCACGTTTTTGACAACAGGTCTAGATGGGCCGTTTAGTGACAATAGGTTCAGATGACCAGTTAGAGTGACAACGGGTTCAGATGAACAATTTAGTCAACAGGTCCAGATGGACCGGTTAGCAAACAACAGGTGTATGATGGACCAATTTAAGCAACAACAGTGCATGATGGACCACTGTTTACTGCACAGGCCCAGATAGACCCACTAGTCCACAACAGGTCAGGACAGAACAGATTAGTTGACAACAAGTAATAGGCATTTCTATACTTACATCATGTTTTCTTCCATAAGTCCGCCACAAACACAAACAACAACGTTCCCTAACTTACATAGTCCTTGTTGGCTTTTTCACCCACGAATCTCCCCCAAACATACACTCCATGTCGTCTCAACCTACACCCATTGGTATCCGGATAACTTTTCCAAGGCCTAAAATCGTTTACAAATTAATGAAAAAACAAGTTGAAAGGATACCTAGAAGAGTACCGAGTTTTAGTAATTAATTCGTATAGATAGCTGAAAAATAAAATAGGTAAATTATTTATAACACACTGGCCGTCTCCTACCAAGGCAGGGTGACCTGAAAAAGAAACACTTTCACCATCATTCATACTATCACTGTCTTGCCAGAGGCAAAAAATAATTATGGACAACTCTGGAAGTGTGAAGTCTAGTAAGACAAACTTAAAGTTCTGGAAGTATGAAGTACTGAACAGTGCCTGCACTCTGAAGGATGAGTGAGGATGTTACAGTTCTGAAGGTGGTAAGAACAGTGCCTGCACTCTGAAGGATGAGTGAGGATGTTACAGTTCTGAAGGTGGTAAGAACAGTGCCTGCACTCTGATGGATAGTGATGATGTTACAGGTTCTGAAAGGTGGTATATATCAGTGGCCTCACTCTGAAGGATGATGAGGATGTTACAGTTCTGAAGGTGGTAAGAACAGTGCCTGTACTCTGAAGGATGAGTGCAGATGTTACAGTTCTGAGGTGGGAAGTACAGTGCCAGAACTCTGAAGGAAGGGTAAGGATGTTACAGATCAGAGAGCCATTTCAATTATGATGTCCATTCGTTTCTGGCAAAACAGCTATTGAACAAATGATGATGAATAAATTTCCTTTCTTGGAACACCCACCCTGGCAAATGACCAATGTGGGAAAGACAAAAAATGACACTATGAGCTTAGCTCTGTTCCTGTATCGATAAATAGGTACATAAGTTAATATGCTAAGCAATTCTCTACATCACAAACATATGAAGAGCTATATATTCTTATTCTTTACCTGTAATCATAACCCAGTCCTGTTTTCTCTCCTTGTACCCCTGTATACAGTGGACCCTCGACCAACGATGGCATCGTCTAACGTTAAATCCGATTAGCGATACATTTTTAACGCGCAAAAAATTTTGCCTCGACTAGCGTAAAAAAAAACCCGAACCAAGAAGACCAAAACCAACTCGATTGTTCCGTTTGATAGTGCGTCCACTTGTGGCCTGAGCGCGCCTCACTTGTCCCGTGGGTGCCAGTGTTTACAAGCCAGCCAGCCACCGCGCGGTCCCATCCAAACATTACAATCGGAACATGTTCAAGATTAACTCAGCGTTTGTAGTGATTTGCACCTGCAAAATAAATCACACATGGGCCCAAGAAAGCTTCTAGTGCCAACCCTACAGCAAAAAGGTGAGAATTACTATGGATATGAAGAAAGAGATCATTGCTAAGTATGAAGTGGAAGTGCGTGTCTCCGAGCTGGCAGGTTGTATAGTAAACCCCAATCAACCATCTTGATCTACTATTGTGGGCAAGAAAACGGCACATCAAGAAGCGTTCTAGCCAAAGGTGCAACTTGTTTTCAAAAACTTAGATCGCAAGTGATAGAAGATGGTTGAGAGACTGTTAATTGGTGTGATAAACGAAAAACAGATAGCAGGAGATAGCATCTCTAAAGCGATCATATGTGAAAAGGCTAGATTGCATGACAATTTCATAAAAAAAAAAAGCCATCCCGCAACTAGTGGTGATGTGAGGTGAATTATAAAGCCAAAGCAAAGTTGGTTTGAAAGATTTAAGATCGTAGTGGCATACATAGTGGATAAGTCATGGCAGGCTGCCAGTTCGGATCCACAAAGCGGGTCTGAAAAATATGTGAAGAATTCAAGGATTACAAGACAGTGAAGAATTTAAACGATGAACAAGTGTTAAATTGTGACGAAACAAGCCTGTTTGGAAGAAAATGCCAAGCAGGAACCTACATTACTGAGGAGGACAAGCACTCCCAGGACATAAAGCCTAGAAAGACAGCTTACTCTCTTGATGTGTGCTAATGCTAGTGGTGAAGTGCAAAGTGAAACCTTTATTGGTGTTAACACTTTCACTGACTACTCCGAAACTCCCAGAGCGTTTTAGGAAAAACAATGTCCTCAAGGCTAATTTGTGTGTGCTGTGGAGGGCAAAACAGTAAGGCATGGGTCACTAGGGACTTTTTCTAATGACTGGTTACAACATGCATTTGCCCCCACAGTGAAAATTACCTCCTGGAAAATAAATTGGACCATTTAAGAGCGCCTCCTGGTATTAAGGAAAAAAACCAATTGCTCCTAGTCATCCTTCAGACTTGGCAGAGAGACTTTCTGGGGACATGAGCTTCATTAAAGGTCAAGTTTTTTGCCATCCTAATACCACTCCTCTCGCTGCAGCCCATGGACCACAGGTCCATTTCCAACTTCAAGAAACTGTACACAAAACAATGTTTGAAAGGGCTTTGTAGTGACCTCGAAACTCAACATGTACTCTAAGAAGTTATTGGAAAGATCATTTTTATGACCATCCTTAATTTGTGTAAACATTATAGTTAAGGCTTGGGAGGAAGTGACTAAGAGGACCTTGAAACCTGCTTGGAAAAAAAACTGTGGCCAAATAGTAGACAAAAGGATTGTAAGGGTTTTGAGGCTAACCCTGAGAATCCTATGCCCATTGAGGAATCCATGTGGCATTGGGTAAGTCCTTGGTAGGAGGTTAGTGGGAGGATGTGGAAAAAGCTGGTGGAAGGACAATGAAGAATCTAACCACTGATGAGCTGCTTGAACAGCAAGAGGCCAGACCTGAGGGAAATTGCTTCGGAGGAGGGGAGAGAGAAATTGAAGAAGTGCCTAACTTCAAAGATTAAAGGAAATATGTGCAATGTGGAGCTTAAAGTGCAAACCTTTTTTGAGATGAAAATCACCCTGACAGCAGCTATTGCAAGCCGTGTTGGCAACCTGTTACACTGACAGTTGGACCACTTTAGGAAAGTCATAAAGGAACGAGAGGTAACAGGTATCTATGAACACGATGTTTTGTGCGACAGAAGTCCAGGACTCTAAGCTGGTCCTAGTGGCATTAAAAGAACAAGGGAAGTAACCTACACCAAAAAAGACATGCTACCGTCAAAGTGCTAATGGAATGGATTCCCCTTCTAAACACTAAGAAGATCAACGACGTCTCTCCCCTCCTCCCATCGCCTCCCATCCCATCAATCATCACCGAGATCTTCAAGAAAATGTAAGTGTCATATTGTTGTTCATGTCTTCTTCAGTTTGTGTTATCTGAATATTAACTATTCATGTGGTAAAAATTTGTTTTTTTCAATACTTGGGTGTCAGGAACGGATTAATTTTGATTTCCCATTATTCTTATGGGGAAAATTAACTCTAACTCGCTAACAATAATTTCGACTACGATGACTCTCAGGAACGGATTAATATCGGTTGGTCGAGTAGTCCACTGTATACTGTTAAACTCTAGTAGACCGGGGCCTTCTGCACAGTCTTAAGCTAGGCTTAAGTTCGCGCATACCGATGGATTTTCTGCATGCACACCTAAATGTCAACAATCTCTGTACAAACACTCTATCGTGCTGAAATAAAAACATTATTATTATTATTATTATTTACAAAGCAAAATGTATTCACCATATCAGTACTTACCGAGGCCATAGAATCAGCTAAATCAGCTTCAAAGGGGTATTCTCAATAATTGGTGACGCAAACCAGTTTTCTTCATCGTAGCGCAACTGACGACCTTTCGATGAACATTTTATGCCCTGAAAGGCCAAACTTTAGTTAAGTCATTCAGTGTGATGAGTATCATATCAAATTCTTGCATACTATAATGAAATTATTGATCATAAAATTTTTTTAAAATTTCTAAATGATTTATAACACTGTCATAATAATTTAACATATGTAATTATTGATAACATTTTTCATTACATGTTTAATAGGAATGATATGTTTTGTGTCTACTAGATCATGAGTTCCCAACCTGTGGCCGCACGGACTGCCTGTGGCCCTTCTAGGGCCACTGAAATATGAACTTACTTTCATGTAGGGTCTACACTACTGCAACAGTGTCAAACAAAACCATGTGGTTGTCCTCCACACGTTTTTGTGACATTTTTTTTTAACATGTCGGCCATTTCTTTTCCCAACCATGGCATGGTGACCCAAAGAGAGAAAAAACCCAAAAACGACAGGAAAAAAACTCATTATTCACACACACTTTCACTTCACCATACATAATCAATGTCTTTGCAGACGCGCCCAGATAAGACAGTTTAGATAGTCACTCCAAACTAAACTAACCAACATCCCAAACCCCTCCTTAAAAGTGCCAGGCTTTTGTACTTCCCATTGGCCTTACGCAAGTCCACTAACCAGTTTCCCTGAATCCCTTCACCAAATATCCCGCGTTGCTTCACACTCCAACAGATCGCAGTCCAAAAACCATTCGTCCTCTCTCATCCACATCCTAACACACTCACGCAAATTTGATCATTAAATACAGTCCCCCACTTTGTGTACAAGGCCAAAGACCACTGAACTAGACTGCTGTTAATTATTATCAGAACTATATTGAACAAATTGATAAACAGTACCAACAAGTGATTATGACATGTCCAACAATTAGGTATCTTTATCCGAAATATTGTACCGTACAGTTGAACATTGTCTTACTTATTCAAAATTACATTTATTCTATGTAGACTCTTTCTATAAGTGTGCTATCACATCAGAATACCGTCTGATGCAACATCACTCAATCCTCATCAGGGTCGGATTACAGCATGGCTTTATGGGCTTGTAACCCAGGGGCCTTCTACCAACTGAGGTCATCCAGGGGTTGCAGCCCAGGGGCCTCCACCAGCTGGAGGTCCTCCAACATTGAGATTTCACAAGCCGTTACCATACATCCAGCACGATTACAATGGCATTTTCTAACCTTGATCATTTCCAGGTGAGTAATCTTAAATTCCTTGCCAGCAAAGGCCAAAGTAGCCAGTACAGCATTTTTGGAGTGGCTGTGAATCACAGCGCCCGCCCCACGCTCTGAAAGTCAAACACAATTTATATAAACAATCAAAAATTTCTGACTGTACATGCCTTAATAACTAAGAAAACGTTAATAAACCAACGCACTGGCATCTACGTTATTATTATTTTTCAAGGAAGAGTTGAAAATGCTCACGGATGTTAGTGGCTATCTTGGAAATGCTCGAGCTTGTTAGTGAAAACTCAATATCTGGATATCTCGAGTATACCTAGAGAAGGTTCCGGGGGTCAATGCCCCCGCGGCCGGTCAATGTTCATATATTGTAAACAAGTTTTTAACAAACCCTGTAATTCCTTACAATTAAACTGATAAAGCCATATAGCAATGAAACTAGTAGGATTATGCAATTCTCTTGTTTCCATTGTAACTCCTAAATTTATATTTACACTCACCCAAGCGACTGTATGTATAAAATTACTCATACTGTTATTGTCTTATTAATCTCAAGTTAGTCTTAAGTTTGTCTAAAATACTCTGCATAAATGTCATTCACCTTTTTACAAACATTGTATTATGCTAAAATAAAGTATTAATATTATTATTATTATTATTATTATTATTATTATTATTATTATTATTATTATTATTATTATTATTAACTTACTCTTGTAGGCTAACATGAAGAGTGGTGTACACTGCGACTTTTTTAACTCTCTCTCCGGAGGTGGACCGGAAACCTCGTCCCCACTCAAGTTAAGGACGAACATGTCATCTGTTTGCAAGCGTTCCTTCTGGACACCAGACGGTGCTACATAAATGTACTCCCTGTGTATTACGAAGAAAAACAAAGAATTAGTAACACCCAGTATCTATACTGTATATCACATTTCTAAACTGAAAGTTGAAACATAAACCCACGAAATCGTAACAACGCGAGTTTTACGAGCCACTCACCAGGGGTTCAAACCCTACCCATTCTGTGGTTTGTTTAAAACATAAAGTCAGTAAAGTAAATACAGTTATTTCTCTTATGAGTGAACTCTAACAGTACAATTTTCGTATTATCATAATCATGACTAAGCACTAAACCCGCTAGGGTCATGCAGTGGCCATTTTTTGTAAATGCAACTGAAAGAGTACATTGGAAATCAAATAGAATGGATGGGTTTGAACCTATGGTGAGTTAGCCCTAAAACTCACAGGCCAGTGCGTTAACCACTGGGCCAGCCACCACTAATATAATTCATCCACCTAGGTATATATCTATACACCATGCATTATTCAATTTTGGATATACCTCTTCAATCACAAGAATGAAAAACTGCGCTACAGGACAGCCCCATTTATATGGCTCTTAGGTTCCTGACTCCATGCAGTAATTGTATATTATCGGACACTTAGATTTTCAGAAGCATAACTCATGCATTATCAGAGGATTTACTGTACATTATTATTCTCCATGGGAAGGTGGAATATAATTCTTCCTCCATAAGTCATGTGTGTCGTAAGAGGTGATTAAAATGCCGGGAGCAAGAGGACAGTAACCCCCTTCTGTGTAAATTACTTAATGTAAAAAGACAAACTTTCGTTCTTCTTTTTTGGGTCACCACACCTCGGTGGAAGACAACCAGTGTTAAAAATTATTATTATTACTATTATTATCTACAAAAATTTCTAGTTTTTTTATTAATGAGATAGAAAGATTAACTAAATCATTATGACTTTAACCCGTCTTTGATGCTGATTCCTCCTCCATTGCCACAAACCCAGCCTAGGTGGTAGAACACTGTCCCAGTGTCACAGATTAATCACTGGCGTCTTTCTTTGTCTCTAGTGCGCCTCTCAAAATGGGAACAATCCGGGGCCCGGCCCAAAGCTTTTTGGCCACCCACCCGCACCTAAAAACCAGAAGTCAAAACAGAACCAATGAAAAAATCTTTAGCAATAAATTTTAGTTCGCATTTCTTAAAAGTTCAATCTGAATTTAAATGCTGGAGAAAATTTAATAATAGGACTTATGGGGTTAATTTCACAGCATAACAACACTGGACGATATCTTACTCTTTAGAAAATAATAAAGTATGATTGGTTAGCATATTTGATAACACTGGATGATATTTTATTCTTTATACAATAATAAAGTAGATATTGCTAACATATTTGATAACTTTTCCATCATATGAAATAAAGCAGAAAAAAAAATCTTCCATCCAGATCTTTCGACTTTTTTATCTGTAATAAAGTTATAGCAAACTTTATTTGTTTCATATGCAAAAACAAGCTTTTGTTGTACAAGCAAAACGCTCTCTAAATAAAGATTTCTATAAACACAAAGTATGTCTTTATTACCCACACACTGATGGTATTTATATACACGTATGAAATATTATTTGTTGCGACTATCTGTTCTCTTGACAAGAAAACTTACCATGAACTGATTCTCTTGTGTCGAGAACTTTCCCAACACAATTCAACTAAGTATTTTGTATATGTAATTATAATTTCAAGTACAGGCAGGCCCTGCTTATACAGCAGGTAGGTTCCAGCCTACTGTAGGGTCCTGCTTATACAGCAGGTTAGGTTCTGAGCTACTGTAGGGCCCCACTTATACAGCAGGTTAGGTTCTGGGCTACTGTAGGGCCCTGCTTATACAGCAGGTTAGGTTCTGGGCTACTTTAGGGCCCTGCTTATACAGCAGGTTAGGTTCTGAGCTACTGTAGGGCCCCACTATACAGCAGTTAGTTCCAGCCCTACGTAGGACCCTGCTTATACAGCAGGGTTAGGTTTCTGGGCTACTGTAGGGCCTGCTTATACTGCAGATTAGTTCTGGGCTACTTTAGGGCCCTGCTTATACAGCAGGTTAGGTTCTGAGCACTGTAGGCCCCTTATACAGCAGGTTAGGTTTCCAGCCTACTGTAGGACCTGCTTTATACAGCAGGTTAGGTCTGGGCTACTGTAGGGCCCTGCTAATAACAGCAGGTTTAGGGTTCCTGAGCTACTGAGGTCCCTGCCTTATACAGCAGGTTAGTCTGGCCTACTGTAGGGCCCTGCTTATACAGCAGGTTAGGTTCTGGGCTACTGTAGGGCCCTGCTTATACAGCAGGTTAGGTTCCAGCCTACTGTAGGGCCCTGCTTATATAGCAGGTTAGGTTCCAGGCTTATACACAGGTTAGAGTCCAGCCTAACTGTAGGTCCCTGCTTATATAGCAGGTTAGGTTCCAGGCTTATACAGCAGGTTAGGTTCCCACTTATAGAGCAAGTTAGGTTCCAGGCTACTACTGAAAAGTGAGACATAGCCTTTTCTTACTTTCGAATGCATATAAAAGTCTAATAACATGCTTACACTATCATATATTAAGTGAGCAAGGGAGCTAGGCCTAAAAAATGCATATACAGTACACACATTACTTACCTTATAATGTTTTCATCCTTAGTTTATAGTGAGTGGTGAATATATTCACTGTACGAAGTCTGAATAAGTGAAAAATGCGTATACAGTGGTACCCCAAATTTCGTACAGCTCCCAACTCAAACAATTATATAAGTTTATTTTTGTAAATGCTTTTGTAAGTGTATTTTTGGGGGTCTGAAATGGACTAATCTAATCTACATTATTCCTTATGGGGACAAATTCGTTTGGTAACGGCACTCGAACAGCCTTCTGGAACAAATTATGGCTGAAATTCAGGGTACCACTGTAATTGAAAACCCACTGAATCAATTAAACACCCTACAGTGGGACCTGTCCGTATATTATGTATATGCTTGGAATTATTAAAGTGTATAATGTTTAGCAATGAAAATATTGATTTTTCTTTTCTTAACCCTCTTATTTCCATTAAATATAATATATAGGGGCTATTAACCTTTCTCCCTGTATAAATTACTAAATTTAAAAAGAAACCTTTCATTTTTTAGGGCACCCTGCCTTGGTGGGATACAGCCGTTGTGTTGAATTTTTTTTTTTCTTGGTCACCCTGCCTTGGTGGGATATGGCCTGTGTGTTGAAAAAAAAATATATAAAATATAGTGACTTACTACAAAGTCTGTCTCCTACCCTGCTCATAAACCTACCACTATCTAGAGTATGTCCTCGGTCACCAGGTTTCATCCGTCTTTTGGGGCAGATTTCGTAAAGACCTTGATCACCCATCAAATCAAAGGTCATTGTATAGAGCAATTTTCTTTCGCGCTCTCCTTACTTCGTATGGCGTTGATCGTGTCTCGGGTACTTCCGAACCTCGATCATCGTCATTGGCTGACGACTTCCTGGGACGACCTCGTTTTCTTTTAGGAACGATCACCTCCTCCTCCTCCTCATCATCATCTTTGAAGTGGGGGACCTCAGAGTTTTCTTCTTCAGACATTTTTGAAAATCTGTAAAAAAAAAAATTAATTTTTTGATCAGTAAATAAAAAAAAATTGAATTTCAATTGGTATACTCAATTTTAAATTTAAATTATTACAAGTGATCCTCGATTTACGATATTTAAACTTTACGATGGTGTAAAAGCAATTACTCTGGAGATGAAACTTAAGCTAATTACCCAGAATAATGGCGGCAAGTCCCTAACGTATTCATTTATTAAATTTTCAATACTGTTACAGTGGACCCCCGGTTAACGATATTTTTTCACTCCAGAAGTATGTTCAGGTGCCAGTACTGACCGAATTTGTTCCCATAAGAAATATTGTGAAGTAGATTATCCACTTTCAGACCCCCCAAACATACACGAACAAACGCACTTACATAAATACACTTACATAATTGGTCGCATTCGGAGGTGATCGTTATGCGGGGGTCCACTGTATTTAGTTGCAGTAATTATTCGTTTATTTACTTATTCAGTAACAGAAGTTATTTATTTATTTAGCACATCATATTTATAATCAACTTATATTTTCAACCCCATAAATCCATGACAAGTCGAGAACCGCTTGCATTTATTTGTGTGCAGTACAAAATAATATACAAGTAACAGCAGCAAACAACTTTCTCAGGCTTGTAATAATAACAGTAGCAACACAAGCTTTTCCAAGCTTGTAATAACACCAGCAACACAAACCTTCCAAGCATGCAATAATAACAGCAGCAACATAAGCTTGTAATAACAGCAGAAACACAAGCTTGCAATAACAGCAGCAACACAAGCTTGTAATAACAGCAACAACACAAGCTTGTAATAACAGCAGCAACACAAGCTTGTAATAACAGCAGCAACACAAGCTTGTAATAACAGCAGAAACACAAGCTTGTAATAACAGCAGCAACACAAGCTTGTAATAGCCAGCAACACAAGCTTGCAATAACAGCAGCAAAACACAGAACAAGCTATGGATAATAACAGCAGCAACCACAGTGAACTTGTAGTAACAGCATAGCAAGCAGGCACAACACAAGCTTCCAATAGAACTGCAACACAAGCTTGAAATAACAGCAGCAACACAAGCTGTAATAAAACAGGCACAAACACAATCTTGTAGTAACAAAAGAACCAATCAGAACAGCAACAAAACACAAGTCTTCCAATAGCTGCAACACAAGCTTGTAAATAACAGCAGCAACATCAAGAAGCTTGTAATAACAGCAAAACACTAAGCCTGTAATAACAACAGCACACAAGCTGTAATAACAGCAGCAACACAAGCTTGTATAACAGCATGCAATCACAAGCTGTAATACAGCAGTCAACATAACTGTGTAATAACAGCAGCGACACAAGCTTGTAATAAACGACAGCAACAACAAGCTTCTAATAACAGCAGCAACACAGACTTGTAATACAGCAGCATCACAAACACAAAAGAACGACAACAAGCTTGTAAATAACAAACAGAAGATGCAACACAATAGCATGGTAATAAACAGCAGATACACAAGCTGTAATAACAGCAGAAACACAAGAGCTTGTAAATATAATATAAAAAGCAGCAAACACACACTTGTAATACAGCAGCAACCCGAGAGCTTGTAATAACAGCAAGCAACACAAGCTTGCAATAATATACAGCAACAACACAAGATTGTAATAACAGCAGCAACACAACTTGTAATGACACAGCAACACAAAGCTTGTAAATAACAGCAGTAACACAAGCTTGTAATAACCAAGCAGCAGCAGTCAGCATACGAATACAAGCTTGTAATTACAGCAGGAAACACAAAGCTTGAAATAACACAGTAACACAAGCTAGCGTGTAATAAACAGCAGCGACACAACTTGTATTAACACAGCAACACAAGCTTGTAATAACAGCAGCAAACACAAGCTTCTATAAAAACACAGCACACAAACTTGTAATAATAAATCAAGCTATGGCAACATAAAGCTGTAATAACAGGCAGCAAACACAACCTTGTAATAACAGCAGCAACAACAAGCATGTAATAACAGCCAGCAACACCAAGCATCAATAAATAACAAGCATCAACACAATAATGTAATAAAAAAACAAAAATCCAGCACACATTCTGTAATACAGCAGCAACACAAGCTTGTAATAACAGCAGTACACAAGCTTTGTAATAAACGAGCAGCAAAAACAACACAAGCTTGTAATAACAGCAGAAACACAAGCTTGAAATAACAGCAGTAACACAAGCTTGTAATAACAGCAGCAACACAAGCTTGTAATAACAGCAGCAACACAAGCTTGTAATAACAGCAGCAACACAAGCTTCTATAACAGCGGCAATACAAAACTTGTAAATGAATACAGCGTCAACATAAGAAGCTTGTAATAACAGCAGCACAAGCAACACAAATCCTTGTAAAAATAAGCAGCAAGCTAAACATAAATAAGTCTGGTAATAAACCTAACAGCATAACACTTATTCTTGTAATAACAAGCAGAACAGACAATCTTGTAATAACAAGACACAGCAACACAAGCTTGTAATAACAGCAGCCGAAACACAAGCTTGTAATAACAGCAGCAACACAAGCTTGTAATAACAGCAGCAACACAAGCTTGTAATAACAGCAGCAACACAAGCTTGCAATAACAGCAGCAACACAAGATTGTAATAACAGCAGTAAACCCACAAGCTTTAATAAACAGCACAACACAAGCTTTGTAATAAACAGCATTAACACAAGCTTGTAAATAACAGCAGAAACACAAGCTTGAAAATAAACAGCAGTAACACATAAGACTACAAGCTTGTAATAAAGCAGCAGCACAAAAAAAACACACAAGCTTGTATTTAACAGCAGCACCAGCAGCAAACACAAGCTTGTAATAAACAGCAGCAACACAAGCTCTTCTAATTCAACATCTCAATACAAACTTGTAATAATATCGAGCCAGCAACATAAGCTTGTAATAACAGCAACAACACAAGCCTGTAATAATAACAGCAACACAAACTTGTAATAATAACAGCAGCAACACAAACTTGTAATAATAAACAGCAGCAACAACAAAACTTGTAATATATAACAGCGATCAAAACACAAACTTTAATAATAATAACAGCAGCAAATACACAAACTTGTAATAATAATAACCGCATCAAACAAAACAACAACAAAAAGTAAACTGTAATAATAAATAACAGCAGCAACATCAAAACTTGTAATAATAAAAGCAGCTAACACAAACAAACTTTGTATAATAATAACAGCCGCAAAAAACACAAGGAAAACTTGTAATAATAAAACAGCAGCAACACAAACTTGTAATAATAGACAGCAGCAACAACAAAAAAAACTTGAAAAAATAACAACAGCAAGCAAAAAACAACACAAAAACTTGTATAATAATAACAAGCAGCAAACACAACATTTTTGTAATAATAATAACAATCACAAACTCAAACTTGTAATAAAAATAACACAGCAGCAACAGGCAAAGCAAACAGCAACAAGCATACATAAGCAATCGCAAACAAACTTGGTAATAATAATAAACAGACTAACAGCACAGCAAGCAACACAAAACTTGTAATAATAAGAACTTCGAGCAGCAACACAAATATAGTATAATACTAACAGCACAACCACAAACTAGTAATAATAATAACAGTATCAAACACAAACATAACAGCAGGAGCAGTTCAACACAAACTTTATAATAATAACAGCAGTCAACACAAACTAGTAAAAATAAAATAACAGCAGCAACCACAAACTTGTAAAATAATAAACAGCAGCAACACAAACATGTAATAATAATACCAGCATCAACACAAACTTATAATAATTAATAATAAACAGCAGCAAACAGCACAGCAGCAAGGCACATCAGCAACGATGCAAAACAGCAAGGGCAAGCAAAAAGGCAAAGCAATCACAGCAAAACAAGCAGCACACAAGAACAAGCAACAGTAGCACAGCAGCAGCAGGCAGCACAAAGATAGCAACAAACACAAACTTGTAATAAAAATAATAAACTGCATCAGCAACACAAAGTTGTAATAATAATAACAGGTCAGCACAAACACCAACTGTAATATATAATAGCAGCAGGCAACACAAACTTGTAATAATAATAACCCAGCAACACACAATCAACAAAAGCAAACAGCAGCAACAATACAGGCAAAAGCCACACAAGCAGAAAGCAACAAGATACACAAGCTGGGCAAGCAGCTACAAACAAACTTTTGTAAATCGTATCACCTAACAGCGAGCACAGCAACACAAAACTGGTAATAATAATAACAGCAGAACAAAAAAAAGAAAAAAACATAAACAAACTTGTAATAATAATTTGGGTTTTATGCTGGGACCCCTTCTCTTTTATTGTTGAAAGCAGCAAACACAAACTTATAAAAATGAAAAAACCGCAGCAACACAAACTTGTAATCAAAATGAACAGCAGCAACACAATAACTTGTAATATAACAGCACAAGCAAACACAAACTTGTTAATGGTATTATCACTGATTTCATCAATGCTTGAGTTTAATTTTAAAAAAAAAAGCCAGCCCGAATGCTATGCATAGTATAAGTGGACTTTGGCATGCTTGCTCTTAAAATCATGCATTTTTTTTGTATCCTCGTAATGTATGCCAAGATTGGTAACTAAATAAATAATAAATAAATAAATAAATAAATAATAACAGCAGCAAAACACACGAACTTGTGTAATAATAACAGCAAAACAACCGACAAACTTGTAATAATAATAACAGCAGCCACACACAGCAACAAAGCAACACAAAAACTTGTAATAAATAATAACAGCAAGCAAACACAAACTTGTTAATAATAACAGCCCATCACAAAAATCAACAAGAAACTTGTAATAATAATAACAGTCAGGCAACACAAACTTGTAATAAATAATTACAGCAGCAAACACAAACTTGTAAAATAATAATAACAGCAGCAACACAAACTTGTAATAATAATAACAGCAT